CAGGAATTAGTAACAGCCTCCATTTCCCAGGCTAGGCTGTTCAAGTTCCATCCCAAAATGAGACAAAGTTTAAATGAAAGATGAATTTGACACTCAGTAGTGAATTTGTAATGTGATACAATTTGCTTAGTTCATCTCTGATAGTCAACAGAATTAAGTCTGTTGTGCTTGTGGCTATCAATAAAGACTAATATGTGTCACAGTAGGAAATGTTTCTTCTAACTGTAAATAAAAGTGAATGCATCTGATGGTTTTTGTAGGCATCTGTCGAAGTCGGGACCAAACCCTTTGGGACTCAGAAAGCAGCCCTCAGGGTGGTAGATCTCACATGACCTAGTTTATTCTTCATTAAAACAGATGGTATCTATCTAAGCAAGGCAAACTTGGTTTTAAGAAAGAGCTGGGGATTAAAAGGATGGGAAGCTGGAACAGCCGGGCCTAATTAATGGGAGCAAATAAAGAGGCAAACTGAGCATTAAATTAGTCACCTACATCAATAGCAAAATAGTCACTACATGACTACTCACCACTTGTTGTAGCTAAACAAAAGTTGCAGGATTGGTTTTCCTAGCATCAAAAGTATCTAAAATTGCATCAGAAATGTTCCCACATTCTTTATTCTTTTCTACCAGGCTTCAAAAAGAGTAAAATCCTGGAAACTGGCTGTGGTATTTTGGCATGGCATTAGGGAATCCAGCTTTTGTAAGACTGAAAATGCCTTTCTTGCATTTGATATTTAGGCCAAGCTGGTCCTCAGCAGGTTTTGGCCCTTTGTGTGTGTTTAACATGAGAAGGTTACCTAATGGAGAAGATTGCTGGCATTCCTTCAAGCTCTACAACCACATAAAATATGCAATGGGATCAAAAAAATTTGTTGTTTCTGTTGTAAACAGATTGTACTGGATTAGTGGTTAGCATTTTGCATATTTTTATTCTGTTTGCCCATTTAGTCCTGAAAATCCTGAATTATGTTGTAAATAGCACAGGCACTCTTCGCTTTCTTTTGTGGGCAGAAACCTTCACCTGCCATATGCCTTATCAGGGAGAAGGGGCCTGCACAAATAAACTAAACTGCACAAATCTACCTTCGACCTTCTAGTAATAGCTGAAGTATAATTTTCTGAGGTGCTTTTTTTGCTCTAAAACTCTAATAATATGTGCTATAAAGACAGGTGGGGATATGCATGTGTGTATGTAGCCATTGCTCTTCCTTCAGCAGGATAGTACTTGGTAATTCTCAGAACTCATCCAGAATGGTACAAGGTCCCTGAAGTTCCCTTGGTTTGAACCAAGTATGAAATAAATGTCAGTAGAATAAAGTACAGGTTTTTATATACTGAATTTCCTTTCGTTCATAGCGTGCAAGTATAAAATATTTCTATTTTAAGGTAATCCTAAGGAATGTTTACTTATCTGTCACAAAAGGTTGAATTCATTTAGTTCATTCAGCTAAGCTCTGAGGTAATCAGGGAAAAAGGTTGAACAGTCCTTTCACAGGGATTAACAGAAACTTCTGTGAGTTTATTGTCTGTTTGGTGGAGGGCAAAAGGCAGTGGTGCTTTGATGGAAGACTGGTAACCCTGCCTTTCTTTGCTTCCAAAAACTTTCCCTCAAATTTATGGAGTTGGGCCTTTGTATTACACACTGCCACTTCACTGCTTCAGTTTTTTAGTTTTTTTATTGTGAATCTGAGGAACAGAATTTACATCTAGTCACAAGAAGACCTGTTTATATAAAAGAGTTAGGTTTTCTTGACTATGCTAAACAACCATAACATCATCTTGTCTCAGCCTTCCACTTTGACTGTCATCCTGTTCCTTCCCCCAGCCCCCCCAGTTACAAGGAAGAAAATTTAAAAAATGTTTGCAGAAATGGCTCAAAGTATGAACAGGGGACCCAGACCAAAAGTTTGAAGTGAGGTATTTAAATTATAGTCGGTTTTGTATGCAAACTTTATCTGGTTATTTGAAGACTGGCTGAGCATAAAAAAAAAAAGGTTAACAATTAGTCCCATGGAAGGGTGGTGAGTGTGTGTCTGGGTACTGCCAGCTAATGCAGGCCTAGTGGCTGCATTAGCTATAAATGCAGGTGATGGCTAGAAAATTCATATTATGAGAGATGTCTGAAAACAAATATTAGATGGCTTCTTAGTCTATACAGTCTTGTTGATTTCCATCATTGCTTGAAATTGGGTTAAAGATGTTTGAAAAAAGACTGCCTGCGATCAGTTCAGAAATAAAACTGGTTAGGGAAGTTCTGTGTTCTCTCCTGTCTGTGTGGTCTTCTGGTTTTCCCGGAGGCGCTCTAGATTAGGTGCTTGCCACTGTTCTGGAATAGCTTGCCAAGCTTTGCTGTTCCTGGCAAAGACGTTTTTAAGGAGGCAATGTTTTCAAACTTAGGAGTGTTGCTAAATAAGTCCCTGACAGGTTCTTTGAAAATGGATGGAACTTGTGATTTTTTATTTCTGCGCAGCAGTTTGTACAGTTAGACCAATAGCGTAAGGAAAAGTAAAGCATTCTAAAAGAAAAGTTTCTAGGACAAGTAGAACAAGTCATGAAACATGCAATCACTAGAGACCTAGGAGCAATTAGGTATGTATTCACTTCTGACTTTCCTGTTGCATATGTCTGTGGAAGCACTTTGTTCATACAGGTATCAAAATGCCTGTAAAACCCACATTTGCTGATGGGGTTAGTACTGTTAATTTCCCTGAGTCCACATTTGGAAGTTGCAAAAACGAAGGGTGATTTTTAGTTTCAGTGTGCAGTATGACTAGTTATCCCTCACAGTGTTTTTACTTAGAATTAAAATTTCAACTCCTAATTTTGAAATAACTTGTTACTTTTTTTATTCTGTTTATTCAACGTAGATGTAAATAATCAGTGTTTAAAGCAACTTGAACAGATGTCTCTGCTTGGAAGCTTTTGGTCCTTAATTTTTTTGTATGGGAGTTTTTTTACTGCAAAAGCTCATCCCTGAGCAAATAAAGTTGTTTACAGGTATAGTCATGTAATGTGACTACATTGTTAAAGGATTTAATTGCATGATAAATTTTCCAGGGTAACCTGATGGCTTACTTTGTTATAACAGCAGGCTTTTTCTGAGACCTCTGTACAGTTTTCATGGTTAAAGAACTGTAACTTGGGACAGGTGGGAACGTAAAACTTCTTTGATAGAATCTTTTGTGCTTGGACAATGGTAATCATTGATGTGTTTGTGTAGTGAGAAGTTTTATCTCAAAAGGTGGCTTTGAAAACTGTATTGTTAGGGGAGCTGCAAGTTCCATAAAACTGGACTGCTGGAGTTGGTAGTTTCTAGTTTGTAAAATGAGTACTTTGTTTTGTTTTGAAGTAAATGCAATGGTATTAAACAATATTACAGATGACTGGAAAGAAAAACTGTTAAATAAAATGTAAATGTTTTAGGTGAGAATAGACATACAGAAAACAAACATTTTAAAAATAAATTCTCAAGTTTCTTGAATTTACCAGAGGTAAAAATTCCCTTTTCTTTTCTCCCCAAATAGTGCAGTTTTAGAAGTTCATTTGTTGATCTCTTTCCCCTTTCCTTTCACACACATACTCATCTCCTTGCACATGTTACACATCTTAGAAAATTAAAATTGTCTGGTAGTATAGATTGATGGTGACTGATTAACACAATCTGAAATCAATTGACATACTAATTAATAACCCTGTAATGCATCTGTGGGCTACCTTTCTAGGATATGTGCAGGGAAAGGGAAGACTGTGAGCTCAAGTACAGGATTTTGACTTTTTTTGGAGAGAGTGACCTTTTACAAGTTAGGCACTTGGTTTGAATGCCAAGTGTCCTTTATAGCAGCACATATTTCTGTCAGAATGGGATTAAAAGTATCTGGTGTAGTTCTGTAATGGAATCTACATGGCATTGTTTAATGAGCTGAAAAATAATAAGCAACCATCCAACGAGCCGAAATGTCTGTTCAAACGTGTAACACTGTGCTGCACTACAAATAGTAATGTGGCTAAATGTGCTAGTTTTAACTTTCATTTCAAACTAAAAGAAATAGTTCAGTTATGTATGATTGTCATGAGTTCAGTGCACTGAAAAGGAACTTTAATGACTACTGTATGATGATGATGATTGAATAGACAAATGCTAATACGTTATTTAAAAATCAATATCTTTTTTATTTTCCTTTTATATTTTTAAGAGTGAATTGAAAATGGAATACATTAACTCCAAAAAAAGGGTGCCAGAGAGCTACTGTTTCAAAGTGATAAAATGCTGCAGCACTATAAGCAGATTTTTTTTTTAATTTCTTTTTAGAAAGGTCAGCAACTTTTAAGTATTTTTTTTCCCATCACTTCCTTATCCTACTGAATCACTTCACCTCTCTGTGCATGTTTAAGGGAATAATTCCCTACCCTGAATAATTGGAGACTGGAGCTGTTCTCAGTCACCAAACCTTGGGAGATGAATATTTTAAATTTTTTTTGTTGTCATCATGATTCTGTATTTTGTGTTCTTTGCGTTATGAGTTCTTACATTTTAAACCTTGATTGATTTTGAACTACTAGTTTTAATAATTAATAAATGGAAATAATGAAATTGAAGAGAATGTTTCCCAGCTTTTCTTCTGCATTTGGCAACAGTTTTGCTTCTTCCATTTAAATTGGTTACATTTGAAACTTACATATTACATACTTATTTTTTGTGTGCATCTGCATTACCCTTTCTTAGGACCATTTCTCTTCTTTGCGAGAAATGCTTCCAGTATCTATGCAAAGAGTTGCAGTATCACAATACCATTATTTTTTATCAAATCACTATTGACAAAATCGAGAAACCCCAAGAAAAAGAATTCTGCGAAAACAGGTAGAATATGTGGAAATATGAGGAAAACCAAAACAAACTAACCTGGAACTGAGTTCCTGTAGGTTTTGATTAAGCAAGTTATCACTGTTTTTTTTTTTCTCCTTTTACAATAAATTGATGTTTCTACTTCAACTTTTCAGGCACGGGTACCTTTGGACGTGTTCATCTGGTGAAGGAAAAAATGGGCAAACGTTACTTTGCACTGAAAGTAATGAGCATTCCTGATGTCATTCGACTGAAGCAAGAGCAACACGTGCACAACGAAAAGTCTGTCTTAAAAGAAGTCAACCACCCCTTTTTGATCAGATTGTAAGTTCTTGTGTTTTTTTAATTCATTTAACTCATGCATTAAGTGCAGTTAAAATATTCCAGGGTCTCATTGCAACTTCTTACGTAAATTAACCAATGCTGAGCATTTAATTTCTGTTACATAATCCAGACTAAAATAGACTTTGGACTAAAATATTTATTATAGAAGAATGAAGAATTTAAAATCAAGATGCATAATTTAAACATTTAAGCAATAATTTATGATAAGAATTTTTCTGTCTCTTATTTTCATTCTGCAGAAGAGAAATCTTCTTAAGTGAGGGGAAAATGCTAATGAAGAATTGTTAGGATTTGCTCATCAAAATGACTTCTAGAATGATCCTTGATGTTAGAAATGTGATAAAAGTATTTTTACATGTATGTCTTGTAGGTATCTAGCTAAAGATATTATTAAATTTAAATATCTGCTTTTTAAAAACTTATGTGAACTCTTGGAAACTTTATTTTTAAGGAGTTTAAATAACTGCATCACTTCTTGGACTTTGATATTCCCATATTTAAGGTTGTTAAGTGATGGAACCTATTCAGAAACATGTTTTAAACACAATTCATAAAGAACACTTTTTTTTTTCCATGGAATTATGGTAATTCTAATGATCCCAATAATCCCATTGTTAAAGATAGAAGTTATCATACTTTTCTGTTCACAGCACCACAGCATTTCTTGTGTATCTGAGTCCAGATCTGTTAATTGGATAACTAAAACTCTGGGTAATTGCAGAGTTAATTTCCATTTATATTTTCTCATGCATGGATACAGGGCTATTGACCAAGATTTGTTTTGCATTTACCTGCCTTAATCAGTTTTACATAAAAGTAGACAAAATTAACCTTAGTTAGTCTCTAGCTGCCAGGAGTGCAGTCTCCTCCCAGGGCTCAGAAAGTATCAGAGAGAAAGAAGAAGGAACAGCATTATAGTCATCCAGAAGATGGAATGAACCCTACAGGAGGAGGCTTTTTCTCTGGTGTGTTGTTGCTTTTTCCAGCATCATGATGCAATTAGTTTCCAGCTAGTGTTCAGAAATCCTGTGTATGGCACAGTATCAGTAAGATGAGTTCTATGGTGTGTGTCGAGTTTGAGATGCTTGGAGGAAAGCAAGATGAAGAGGCTGAGTGCATCTGGTTAGACTGGCTGGAATACGGACGGAACAGGGGGAACAGGATTTTATGTGTATGTCTATGTACATAAGTAAATTCTTTAAAGAAAACCCTACCAAACCCAGCAAAAAAACCCAGCTAAATAGGTCTGAGTGTCAGGAAGAGTGAGAATAGAGAAACCTGTGTGACATGTCAGAGATAGGGATGCAGGGATTCATGTCCGTACTGAAGTGATCAAAAATCCAAACTGATAAGTTTTCTTGAATTTCATTCATACCTTATTTCCAAAATACCAGATTTTTAAAGTCGCCAAAGGACACAATTCAAATGGAAGTTTACTTGTGTGCAAGGCAAACATTTTTGACGTCTTCTAGAGCTCTACCTTTTCTGTTGAAATGTCCAATGAGACATTGCATCAGCTGTGCTCATGTAATTGTCCATGTGATGCCTTTGTCCCTTGGCAAAGGAGACTCAAAGTAACCTAGCTGAAATGAGGTAGTTAAAATTTAAGTCACAATAATATTTGTGTGCTTTAGGTTAAACAAGTTTTCATGGGTGATTATCACTGACTGTATGACAAATAACACTTTCTATAGCTTTTTATGTGGGTAACAGCTTTTTTCAGCTGCCTAATAGATGTGGATTTTTCTATGAATTCTTTAAAGTGTTTTACTAAGTGTTTAACAAAAAGGGAAAAAAATTGATATAGTTCTGCTTCAGTGCCTTTAAACTGTGTTATCTGCCTTCCGGGTTTTATATTTTCAGTTAACTTCACCATCTTAAACATGGATGGTATTTTCCTCAAGGAATCTGTGTCAGTGAAGCACAATACTTCAGCATTTTATGATGGAAAATAATAAGTAATGCTGCACATAATTGATTTTCGGTGTTCGTCCTTCCTGTCTTCCTTTATATAAAGAGTTTATATAACTTTTTTTCATTTTCCTGTTGCTTGTGAGAAATGTCTTGTCTGCATTTAGGGAGGTCCAGTTTTTCTGTAGACATTAAGTTATTTATCTACATATTTTTTTAAACAATTTTTTGTAAATGCTTGTTTGGTGCTCTTGCAATCTTTACTGCATGTTTGAGTGATATCTCATACCTCTGTGTGCAACACTTCATAGTGAGCTGTAATGTTGACATGTATTTTTTGATTTTTTTTCAAGAGAACAAGATTTAATAAAAGTCCACTATGTCTTGTAGACCTATAAGCTAAAACACGTTGTTTGTAAGAGTTCACAATGGCATCGAAAGTTCATGTAGTAAAGCTGAATTGTAGAGTTAACATTACCATGGATATTCTGATCACAGCTTCTGAGATTTTTTTCTTCTTTTTTGTATTGGAATTACCATTTAAAGCAATTTAAAGCAGGTATCGAAGTTCTTAATTTTACTCTTTTTCATGTATATCAAATAACATATCCATTTTTTCTGTGGAAACTACTGTAAAGCTACTTTGTTTTAATGGTCTAGATCTTCCACTTTTTCCCCTCTGTATTCTTTGTCAGATTTTGCTCTTTCTTTCCTCGTACATATTCTTTTAAATATGTGGTTTGCTTTGTTTTGCCCACTCCTGTTCTTCTTTCATTGTTTATTATTTATTAACTACCTAAAGTTCATCTCCAGAGTGTTTTTACAAACAGTCAATAAAGATACTGTGGACATCATCAATAGTCAATTCATTATGTTGATGGCTGTCATAGGGAAGAAGTTCCATAAAAGCAAAGGCAAGCCTGGACTCTGCTTTCTTCATCACTTTGAAGGAATGGAGGAGCTGTTAGTGATGTCTGGTAGTCCATCTCATTTTCTTGGTTGCCTCAGTGCTGGTATTAAAAAATAAAACCTTACTGAGTAAAAGTCATTCAGGTGTTTGGGACCTCAGCTTACTCTCCCTGTCTTTACCGAGGCTCTCTGCCTTGATTAAGTGCCAGATGATACTGCAGAAGTACTTGTGATACTGCAGAGGCAGTTACTAGAAGCTAAAGTAGCCTCTCTTCTTGTATCAATAAAGTAGGTAGGGATACAATGTTCTCTATCTTTTATTAAAAAATTGGAGCTATCTCTTTTTATTAAATGATGGTGTTCTTCAAGGTGTTGTTACAGATAATTTCTTCTTAACAGTTGAGTTACATTTGGGTGTGTGGTATGTGAGTTGTTTAGTGTGGATAGAAAGAAAAACAGCTTAGTTTAGGGAAATGTGGGAAGGAAGATTACTGTATTCTGTAATGAAGCATTTTAAAGCCACATGGAATTATTTTCTTTCTTCTTTACCTGTTCTTTACTGTTCTTTACTGCACACTAATAATGACTGTACCACAATAATAGTTCTTAAATCGAAGGTGGCAGTCGCAGTCTGAGGAATGGAAGGTACTTATCGTTGGGTTAATTCTGAGGTACAGAAATGAATCCTGTTTTGGTGTCATTTTTGCTTTCCTATTGCTTTTTGTTAAAAGATACCATAGAAGAGCAAGGATTGTGATCTGATTCTTTAGCTGGGGTTGTGTATTTCCAGGGAAGAAGAGATAGAAGGACAATTCTGTGATGTCTTATTTTGAACGTATTGTCATGAAAGTCTTTACAAAAGCAGATTCTGCTCACCCCCATCACTTTGACAGTGTTTCATTACATAAAATGTAAGGTGTGTAAGAAATGTCTGGTCTTTACATCAAGTCAGTTATTTAATGCTTAGCAGATACCTATTTTGTACAATGCAACAGAGTCTATCAGTTAATTTACTTCCTTGGCTTGTGCTGTACTCATCCTCAGCTATCTGTTTTATGTTGCAGGTTAAATCAGCTACCCTGAATGTCTGTTACATAATCTTGCTGGATTCTTGGGGGTTTAATATTTGCAGACTAGACATCAGAAATTAGTTACATTCATTTTACGGAAATTTTCTTCTAAAGCAAATTGGAGACATAATTTCTTTATTCAGTAAAATGATACTTTTATTACAGATTTTGGACCAACCACGATGAACGTTTTTTATATATGTTAATGGAATATGTACCAGGAGGAGAACTTTTTAGTTACCTGCGCAACATGGGGCGTTTCAACAACAGCACAGGACTGTTTTACTCTGCGGAAATTATTTGTGCAATAGAATACCTGCACTCCAAAGAAATAGTTTATAGAGACTTAAAACCTGAAAATATATTACTGGACAAAGAAGGACATATCAAGCTTACTGACTTTGGATTTGCTAAAAAGCTGGTGGATAGGTAAGTGGGGTTTTCTTATGGTAATTACATTTTGCTTGCTAAACAGTTATGAACAAAAAGGTTTGATTTCAGCACTTCATCTGACACCCCATGTGATTCATACATGTCAAGTCATTTAATATGAAGGAAGTGATCATCTTGAAATGACTACATGGAAACCCGTATTACCCCTTAAGTATAACTAGGAGCAATATCACACATAAGCAACAGTAGAAAAATATTTTTAGATGAGTGATTTTGTATATTGAAGTTTTCAGCAGTCATCTTTTATAAAGGGAGTTCAGTAAAGTAATATGAGCAAATATTAAAATCTGTACATTAATCCTCCATACATATTGAATGGCTAAATGTTTTGTAACTCGTGTTTCCTTCTGCTTTCCTTTTAGAGACTTTTGAAGTGTGAGAATAACATTTTAAAACTGCATACTGTGTTAGCCTTTTGCTAAAATGAAACTGAAAAAATCTAGACAAAAACAATGAAACCAGCTTTAGCAGAATTGGTTTATTTAACTGTTAACTTTTACATTACTGTAAGCTTTAATAGTATATATAAACTTTTTGATAATGCAGAGGGTTTTTTCTCTCTGTTTGAACTACTCTTCCAAGATGACATGCATGTTCTTAAAAGGAAGCAAGAGCTTTGAGATTCAAGAAAACGGAGGAAAATCTAGCCTGTCATATCAGAAAAGCAATGTGACAAAGTTTGATATTATACCCTTGAGCCATCTCTTAAGGGGAACAGTATTATATTGTTCTAGTTGAGGCAGCTAGTTAGGTGTTATATAGGTGCTTATTCTCTTCACTCATCTGTGTACCTGTTTGATGCTGCTTTTGCAACAGATGGTTCGGTGGGTGAGGATAATTCTACAACATCAATTTGAAAGGAGAGTGGATCTGAGGGAGCTACTTAATGGATCCCTTACAAAGTAAAAGTCAGATAAGAAATCAAATCATGTTATGGAGGTCATAATATCTGCTTCCCCACGGGTTACATGCACACAGTGCTGGGTTACCTTGGCACAGAAAAATGGTAGACAACTAATAACTAATAAACTGGTTCTATTCACCTTTAAGGTCTACAAGTATGTTTGAAAACCGTAGAATTTTAATATCAACACATTTGATTGAATTCAGTTTCCATTGGGCAAGCAAATAGGCATCCAAATGCTGACCTTTTCTTTTAATACTTTGTTTTTAGATCAAAATAACTTCTTGCAGAAAGAGGTAATGCTACTTACATGTAAGAAAGTGGGACAATCTCTTTATAAGACATTTTCATGCAAATTCTTATGACTTTCTCTTGACATGTAGATACTGCCACTTAGTGGTTATTCTTGATTTGGATTTCTGTGGCTTTAAGTAACAGAAGTAACCCTTAGTTAAATAAGGTGATAGTTCACATCAGAGTATATTTTTCAACCTGGAAGATAAATCTCTATGAGTGGATTGGTTTGAATGCATTTTAGGACATCAAAACAAGTTATCACTACTGGTTTTAATTGGTTTTTTTGTTTCCCATATTTCCTGGAGGGGAATTGAAATCGATTAGCTTGTGTTAAATTGAATGATAGAAGACTATAGTAGTTTTATATTCCTAGCTGATTTATCTGTAAATGTATGACAGGTAATATAAATAAAGAACATAACACTGGAAGGAGCAAGAACATTATCAGTTAGAGCAAAGACTTGCACCTGTGCAAGTCTGGTTTAGTTTTTTGTGTTATTGGTTTTATTGGAACTACACGATAGTTCCAGCAGTACACTCACTAGTATATTAGCTGAAGTCATTTTTACGAAGCTGGTTTTGTCACTGTAAAAATACACAATTGTCACCATTTATCCACAAATGCACTCCAGTAAGTTCTTTTGTTTACGGCATAGGCTATTTAATTAAAATTATGGGATACGTTTTGTCATTTTTATGTTGGCAAACATCTGTACATATGAACCTGACATGTACGTGTACACGTGTGTAGATGTGTATATACACAGTGTATATGAATTGTGAAAATAAGACAAGAAGCATTTATGTTTCTCAAACATTGTGAGGTAACCTGCTACTCGGGATCAGCAGATATATTCCTAGAGAGAAGAAGACACGTATGGAAATTAGAGTATCATCTCCAGGAGACCTTTGATACAATTACACATTCTTGACACATAATACTTCACATGAAAGATTCTGTAGCTGCCCAATTGAGGTTTTGCTGTACACATTTTCCTTCCTTCCCATTACGCTATGTGAAAACACAAAGTGTTCACCATGTCCATCTCCAATTAAGCTGCTCTTTAGAAGAAGTGTCTGGCTCATAGCTCATGTTCCCACTCTGGGAAGCAGCCTACATGTTTACCTTCTTATTAGTACAGTTTCTGAAGGGCTAGATTCTTAATATTTTCTTTATATAGACAGAGGAAGGAGAGGAGGTTTTCTTTTCTCCTTCTGTTCCGTGTTGGTATGTCCTGTTTATCCTTGTTCCTCCTTTTGCAGTCATAGTGTACGTTTAAAAATTCTAAATTTTTCTCCAAAACAGTGTGTCTTTGCCTCAGCTGCTGTTTATTTCTTCTCTTTTCCACTTTGATGTTGCTTAACTGAAGACTTAATAACCTTTTCAGTTTCTTGTAAGTACATTTATACTTTAAAAAAGGGGCAATGTCAAGAAGAGCGATGGGGAGGGGATTTTTATAAATTATTGTTACGTGAAGGTTCTAGAAAGGATTTGCTTTGAACTTTACAGCCATTACATTTGTAGACCTTTCTTTTTCTGAAAAGTATATACCATGTTTTGTGTGTAGTATTTTCATTACAAATTTTTTCTAATCTGGTCTTTTTTTTGTATATACTTTTGGTTTTTTTTTTTTAATTCCTGTGTTCTTTCAGAGAAGCTCAAAACTAATCTGCATGGAATTTTATATTTTTTATGCTCAGATTTCACTCAGAAAGTTATAAAAGTTTTAGGTAAAGTTAAAACTTTTTTTTTTTTTTTGGAATGTTAATTTTAGTTTCTTCAGTTTATATTCCTAAAAAAAAAATTACCTGTGAAAGTCTTTTAGAAACTTGAAGTGATTAATCCTAAATATATTCAGGATAGTTCTGCACTGTTGCTTAAGCTGAATGTGCCTCATGTTTTTTCTACAGAGTGGATATTGCAGAGAAAAAAACTAAGTAAGACACACAGTAAGTCTGGTTTATGAAGTGTATTGTTTGTCACTGTAGAAACAAGCAAGACTATCTTGCAGAACAAATTTTTGTGGGCTGGAAACAAAGCAATCTTTATTAATAGTATTACAAACAAATAGCTAGAATACCAAAAAGAACATTTTTGGTAATCTCTGGCTCATATGCTAGAAGCCTGACAATTACTACAGAGATGGATACTGAATGGTGTAGAATGCTAAAATACATTAACTTCTTCAAATAGTACTCTTAATAAGTCCCACAAATATTATTTTATAGCTTACCTTTGTAACCACAGTAGATTCTTTGTTTTATTTCCACATTTTAAAATTCAATGTTCAACCTTATCAACTATTGCTTACCTGCATTTCAGCTTTTTTCCTGAAAATGCAGAGCAGTGGATATTTTCTAGCAGTTTCAAGGGAACAGTCTATTCTTTAATTTTTCTGCATTGTAATTTATCTTCAAAAGGATGATCTGGAGTTTCAGATGAGTATGAAATAGTCATAAAATAGTAATAATAAAAAATAATTTAGGCATGTTATCTATTTATAGCTCTTACTTGATGTGTTTTCCAAAATATTAAGTAGTTTGTTTCTTGACCAACAAAAGGGGAAACACAAGTCTTACACATCTTACAGCAAAATACGTAGTTTGGAAAAGAACACGAGCTTCTTCCCTGTTTTTGTTTAGTCAATGAGAATAAATTTCTTGTTGGTAATAAATTTTATTTCCTAGTGCAGCTAGGAGACTTGAAGTTATGTTAGCCTTTGCTTAATTCGCAGTTTTCCTCTTGGTTCCATAAAAAGATCTTGTTAATAACCTGTATGGTAACTGAGTCATTTTAATTACATTGTCCCCAGCAAACTGTAGGTCCTGGAAGTCATGGTCAAATGATTTATTTTTTTTCTTGTATGTAAATGACCTTAATAAGGGATGAAAACCTTCTTCTTTCCAAGTACAGTAGAACTGTCAGCTGCTTCACTTGCAGAGCTGGCTAAATCAGTGTGAATAACAATGCATACAATGCTGTTTTGCATATAGCTTTTTAAATTTGGGAGAGGGAGAAATTTTTGTTTTAAAAGACAACAGAGCTTTGCTGTTTTTTCTGAATTCCGTAGTGCTGATCCATGCAACTGCTAGATGGCAGTAGTGTCAAGCAGTGCTGAAAGTAAGAGATTTCTTCAGTATGCTTGATCTGGAAAATGAGAGTTTAAACTTTTTTAGATAAATTTATGATAAAAATTAAAAATGCATTGTTTACACTAGTGAAGGTAGTTTCAAGAGCCATGAAGCACATTGGATGCACAGCGTGTCTTACCCATCTGACAGTTTAGCTGGAGTAATTTAGCTTTCACCATAGGAAAATCAAGCTTGAAGAAATTCAGGTCATAATTTTTCATTTAAAGCATTGGCTGACTGTACAGCTCCTCTTCCTTTATCTTAAATATTTTTATGAATATAAGCTAAGGCTTAAAAAAACCCAACAAACAAAAGGAAAACAAGGGAAGAACACCTCGCAAAAGCTCTCTTTAAAATAATTCATAGAGTCATAGAACATGCCGAGTTGGGAGGAACCCATCAGAATCATTGAGTCCAACTCCTGGCCCTGTGCAGGACGCCCCAAGAGTAACACCATGCACCTTACAATGTTGTCCAAATGCTTCTTGAACTCTGAGGCTTGGTGCTGTAACCACTTCCCTGAGGAGCCTGTTCCAGTGCTCAGCCACTCTCAGGGTGTAAAACCTTTCCCTGATATCTAACCTAAACCTCCCCTGACTCAGTTTCATGTGGTTTCCTCAAGTCCTGTCACTGATCACCAAAGTGAAGAGACAGGAACTTACCCCTCTGCTTTCCCTCATGATGACCACAATGAGGTCTCCCTTCAGTCTCATCTTCTCCAGGCTGAATAAACTAAGTGACCTCATCTGTTCCTCATAAAGCTTCCCCTCCAGACCCTTCACCATCTCAGTTGGCCTCCTTTGGATGCTCTCTAATAGCTTAATGTCTTTTCTATATTGAGGTACCCAGATCTGCACACAGTATTCAAGGTGATGCTGTACCAGTGCAGAGTAGGATGGGACAATCACCTCCCTGCAGTCTCAGAAAAGTTGTTGAATTAGTATTACTTCTAAAAGTGATTGCTACTCATCTTAATGCATTTGTTCAGGAGCATGTTACCAGTTTGCTTGGAAAAGATTCTTCCTGCTCTCACAAATATTCAATAAGAGGTTTTCTTGGTGCAAGGTAGAAATCATGTGCAGTGACCATTTGTGACTTTATTCTGTGTCATATCTAGCTAGAACTGTTTTTAAAATGTGATACACTTTTTTCTTTCTTATTCTGTGCTGTTATTTCATTTTCTCTGAATTGGTGAGCACTTTTTCATCTTTTGACTTGGTATTGAGTAAGTGCAGTTTATTCAGAATGAAAGCACATTTTTTCTCAAATGTATACTTAAATCAGGGGAGTGAAACCAGGCAAATTCTACTTGGGGCATTTTTACAAAGAAGAGCAATATATTTCTGGAAGAATTGGTTTCAGAATATTCTTTTCAAATTATAATTTGATCTTTGTAAACATACCTGCTTAATTTCAATTTATTTCATGTCTTTACAGAACTCAAAATGTACATTTCAATTAGTTAGCAGTTTTATCCTTACCTTATCAAAGAAAACTGTGACTAAAAATGACATGAAAATATATCAAAAATAGTGCTGCTTACATATCTCACATTTGCATAACTACACCTTGTAAATATTTTAAATAACTAAAAATACAAAGTGTTTTAATGGATATTGTGGAAGTGATAACAGGTTTCATTTCAATACTATTTGAAAAACTTTACTTAGATTGTAAAATGAATCTATCTTGTATGTGTGACTATTTACTGATTTAAACTACTACTTTTTTAACTCCCTTCTTCCCTTTGTTTTTATAAACAAAACTTCTTCCTTCTTCTGGAAAAGGCCAATAAGCTTGTCTTCTGCTGTGCCTGTCAGTAGTAGTCCATGAACTCCCAAAGTCTGCAGCTCACAGGGTGAAAACCACTGTTAGTACTTTCAAAGAAACATGCAGGCTAATAGATAGAGTACCATACCATCAGTCAGCCAACTCAGTCCACAGACATTTTCTGCAGCCAAGAAGTTTATTCATTTCCATGTATCTCTGTTACAGAAGTGGAGAGCATCATCAAAGCAGTCTGTTTAGATCTTGTAGAGGCCTTTCTTATTTCTGTTACTATATACAGTAAATACATAGGTATATGTGTGTGTTTGTTTTTTCCTATTACTGTGTTTCAGTTTAACTTCAGTCTGGTTTTGTTGTTTGTTTTGTGGGTTTTTTTTCTTCTTTTACTCCCAGAACGTGGACTCTCTGTGGCACTCCTGAGTACCTTGCACCAGAAGTTATACAAAGTAAAGGCCATGGAAGAGCTGTGGATTGGTGGGCCTTAGGAATTCTTATATTTGAGATGTTGTCAGGGTAAGTGATAATTACTATATCACAGCAATATTATGTTATACAGTAATACAGGATTCTTTACAAGTTCTGTTTACAATATTTGGATTAGCAAATTTGGGCTAAATTTATTATTGATATACTAGTTGAATTTTTGCCTCGGAAGCAAGGAATTGGGAAGCTGTACAAAACAACAGATATTACTGTTCTTACGGGAATGCTTTAGGTTTTTGAATTTGTTGGTTTTGTTTGTTGTTTTGGTTTGGGGGTTTTTTTTGTTTTACTTAAGACTTTTATAACAGCTGCTCTTTTCCCCATCTGTTTTGGAAATTCAGGCTTTGTCAAAGTTTAGATTTTTTTTCATAAAATCCTTTAAAGGCTAAAGAAGAGGATTACTTCTGTAATTAATTTCTAGCATAGCGATATAGTACTTGCAGTGGGAGCTTTAGTCTGTAAAAATGCATAATGGCAAGTAGGAAGTATTAATACACTTTGTATTACTACTGAGCACTGATGTTTTAATTTTTATTTTTTTTTTTTAAACCAAAGGAAGAACAGGGAAAAGCTTTAAAGGTGTATTTAAAATCTATTTGTTCAAATGCTACATTTGATGTTTTGGAATTTGTTTGCTAAGCAATGTTTCCTAAAGATACAAATTTAAACTAAATTAACTGGCATTAATATAATTAACCGTTTATGACTTTCTAGTATTAGTTATATAAAAGTAATTGCCTTAGTTTGCTCTGATTTCAAAAAAGAAATACTGGTTTTAGTACAATAAATAACTGATTTAGGGAGAATGTGAAATTCTGCTTATGTACTAAACAAGGCCATCTGCATGTTTTTCCTTGGCTTTTTTTTGTCGTGGCTGCATTGCGTGAAGGTGCTTGCAGAAAAGAGAGAGATTTTGAAAGCAATTGGCTTTGCCATGGTGTAGAACAAATCCAGGCGAAAGCATGACCTTCATAGTTTCTGAAGAAACATAGTATATTTCATCAGTTTGGTTTCTTAGACCTTCTTTTTGGTACCTGACTGAGTGTGCTCTATGCCTTCTCAGTCTCCACATGTGTGTCAGGGTGCCTCTGTGGCCTTTCACTGTAGATCTGCAACCCTACAGAGTGATCGGAACAAAATTTCCTTGCTTGGATTGATTCATCCTTTTCTCTAGTTAGCACTGTCGCTCTCACTCAGAGTAACTTTGGTGACTCTTCCAGTGTTTGGACAAGCTCATCAGATTGCCTGATCAAGCAGATTCCCTGGTGGATGGATAATTACTTCAGAGCTCTAATTCATTGTGTGTATTACTGTGAAGAAGTCCACCCAATAGCATCAAAACTTTATCCCAGGACAATATTGCTGCCTGCTGCTTGCTTTCTTAATATCCTGGAGGCTTGCATATGCATTGACTTTGAATCTCAAGGCAATTTGTAGACAGAAAAGCATAAAAATGTGTAATAGTTCTTACTGACCCAGGCAGCTTTTGCTGACTGGTCTGATACAAAGTTGTCACTTATGTAGGCTAATCTGTGCAGAGACCAGGCTTCACCTTTCTTCTATCGCTCCCTGTAAGGTGAGCAGCCCAAGTTGGTCAAGAGGAATCCTTCTCAGAGGGATGAAAGCAATTCCCAGCAGTCTTGTTGGGAATTGCTAATCTTAGTCCTAGACAGCAGGAAACTGTAGGTGAAAGCGTCTGGTACTGTAACATGAGAACAGGTGCTGCAGTCACCCAGCTGTAGTCTGAGTGATTTGCCTTCCTACCACGGGCTTCACTGGGACCACTCACTGGTCTATGTGGTCTCAATGTAAGTGGATATCAGACCTTTTTTCTTTGTGTGCCTTACAGAGATGTTGATGGGATTCTTTCTACTAGAGCAATAAGAGAAGCAAAGTTTCTGTTTTACTAAGTTAACATGCTACCTACAGGTGATAATCGAGCAAGATCTCATTTCTGGACTGGAGGGTGCTGAAGTATGACTGCTATATATTCTACTGAAATATGACTGGCATATCTTCTTCATGGAAAAAGGGAGCAGCTGCAGTCATTTCTGTGTAGGGCCTTCTGTGTCATGACACCATCTGGCTCAAGGGATGAAATCTGGATTCTGGGGGGGTGGGGAGGGGTGGCTTAATTTGAACACTTTGACTTTAGAGACCTTTAACCAATAGACGTAAATTACACTTTTCTAAAAAGCAGTTGAGGCCTTACATAGGCTGATTGACAGAGCAGCTGTCAGCTGCGTGCGAGTTTTTCATGGCCTTTGCCACAGTATTTGTGTAGACGTGCTCTTCATAATTGAATGCTGTTTTGAATAGGGACTCCATCCAAAACTAAAAAATAAAAAACAGCTTTCAGTCATTATCAAAACTGGGATAAGGTTTGGTTTGGAGTTTTTGGGGGGGGGAGTTTTGATTGTTTGTTTTGGTTTTTGTTTGGTTTGGGTTCTTTTTTTGTTTGGTTTGGTTTTTTGGGGGGCAGTTGTTGTTTGGGTTTTTGGTTTTTTGAGGTGGGGAATGTAACTTTATACTACTTAGGTCTGTGTTGTTTTTTTTTTTTTAGGAGGGATAGAGGGAGGCAGAGATTATGGCTTGTATGTGTTCCCTTTAGGTGGGCAGGTTGTCACATAGGGCGGATGCTTTTAGTGTTTTATCAACTTTTAACTGTTGTTGACAGTAGTCTTTTTAAATGCTTTTCCTCACCAACTGAAGATGTGGCTTGATAATTATGCTATCGAGGCTTTTAAAGCATAAACAGTCCTAGGTAACTTTATCCTTTGAAACCCAAAGAAGTTTTAAGAAATACAGAAATTTTTTTTAAGGTGAACAAAACCTGACTTCAAGACTAAATTATTGTCTGCAAGTAAATTAACTTAAGACATTTGGTAGTTATTTCCTGAAGTTAGTCTCTCTGAAACCCAAAAGCAATTGAAAAGAATTGGTAGATGTGTATGTAAGGAAATCATCTTTCTAAAAACAAACAAACAAACCCACACTTTCCTGTTCTGTGGTGTCTTATTTCCCTGTCTTAATATCTCTAGAGGCCCATGGAATTCTAGTTCTGCACATACTAGATTTAAGGCAAGGTCCCATATAGGTTTAAGATAGTAGGATATAGGAAAGGGAAAAAACAGGGAGAACCAAAGTTGAGAAGAAATCTTTACAGAACACAGAGTAGAGTTAATCTAAACAAACTGTCAATACAAAAAGCTGGAAGATCTGTTTGAGTAAAAGAGTTGTGTTACAATTTACCATAGAGGAAAATATATTTGTTATTTAACATTAAATATGTTAAATCATAATTGTACTGTCATCAGATACGTAGCTGAGTTTTGCCTATTAATGAGGGCTTTGTGGGTTTTTTTGCATTGGTGGTCATACGTGATGTGCTGTTCTGTCATTTTAGGTGGTAATGGTTCTTGTCTGCAGATTCATATTCTCAGACTTGGGTGTTTTCACCTGAGGTTTTACAACTTCTGTTCTTCAGACTATCTGTTATCTTTGAGACTAATGTCAGTGCTATTGTTGTGCATAAGTTAGCAAAAGGAATGGTTTGAAGCTGTTGTCCCATTTACAGAGATATTACTGTTTATAATATAGCTTGTTTTCAGTTGATGGAAAAAAGGCAGCTGTTTGTTTTTGTGTTATGGTGTGAAGACAGTCTGAAGCTCTGGGGGTTTTTTGATGATTTATTAGGTAGCTTCCAGCACAATACTTGTGTTGTTTTGTCTAAAAACTGTGCTGTGTTGAAGACAGACATTTACAAGAACCATCAAAATCAAGTTATTTGGTTTGTCCATAAGAAAACTATGTAATCTTTGAAAGCAGTTCTCATTTTGTATATAGTTCAAATACACTTTAAGCAGCATTGCCATAAACTTATTATATAGCCAAGTGTGATTTAAATTTCTCTTAAGAGCTCTAGACATTCTAATTATGAATTTTCAAAGTGGGAAAGCCAAGAGCAATTTAAACATGTAAATATGTAAAAAAATCACACTTTTTATTCTTCTTGATTTCATACCTCAGTGTACAGTAATGTGTTTACTGCAGCTGACACTTTTGTAATACATATTCACAAAGTTTCATTGTGATAGCTTTATGCATTTATAGATGCTAATATGTAATAACAAATAGAAAATTGAGTGTACTGTTTGTCAACTTGCTGTGGAGAATGTGAAGAACATTAATATTACCTGACTAAAAAAAAACTTTGTGCGGGAAAATTTTGTGCATGTTAAATACTTATAGTGTTTTCCTTGTTCTTTAGTGTCAAAGCAGAAATTTTTGATAACCAAAGTACTCTTCGTGAGATTCTTCTATTTTCCAGTTACTTGGAAAGTAGATTTTCATAATGAAACTACTCTGGCCTTCTTAACACCACCAAGAAATGTTCTTTAGTCTTTCCTTAACCATATAGTTTTGTTGTGCATTTCAGTGCTTTGAACTATTACTTGTTTTTTTACCATGTGCCTACAGACACGTTTACTTAACTATTCTGATGGAATTTGATTTTACCCATGGCCAAATTTTACAGTATTTCAAAGGAAATGCTAATCCACTTGACCATCAGCTGAAAAATGAAGAAATTAGTACTGCTGAAAACAGAATAGAAATGATGTATAGTACTTCTTGAGGAATAAGCTAGTTCAAGTACCATAAAATTAAAGAAAGAACATGAAATGAAGATGCTTTGGTTTCACCCTTGTTTGTGCTCTCAGTGATTTCTAAAGTCACCAGCACTGTATTTGTGTGTGTATACACACAGTTAAGTTGTCTTAGAAAGTAATTATAAAATGTTAGGGTCATGTGAAAATGTTTTAAACATTGAACTGTAATAGTATTTGGATGTTGTGAATATGGTTGACACTCAAAATCATTTTTTTTTATTTTTATTCTGTAGGCATTTTGAGACAGAAGCATAGTAAGAGAGATGCTTCAGTCATTTACGGAAGGCAAAGCAGGACTGAGATTAGTGAATGAGTAGTTCTTTATTCCATTCCCTTAGAAGGTTTCCTGTGGTAACTTTTAAAAACATGACTGACACTTGGAAATTTCTTGGCACTTGGGCTAAGCTGCCTGTACTGGCTGTACTGATGCACCCTGATGTACTCTGAGGCTCTCGCAGTACTCAGGGTAATATATTGTGCTGGTAAAGGAAGCACAAGAGAAAACTCTTAAGTTCTTACTGTAGCTGTACAACAAGAAGCAGTCTCTGTTAGCTCATAAATTCATGAAGAACTTTGTAGAAAATATAAGTGTAGAATTTTAACTGCATCTTGATTTACTGATCATCGTAGGAAGGTTATGAAATAAGTACTTAATCTGTCCCACACAGAAAGACAGCTACATTTTGAGAGTTCTGAACAGTGTACCTGCAGTTACAGGACAAGGTCAAAAATGGTAATTCTCTTTTGGTAACTATACCCATGGGTTTTACAGATAAAGGCAAAGTATTTTTTACTTCTAATACTGAAAATTTGTTTGATGAATTATATTTTTACTGTATTAATGTAACACTTTTATATTTTTCTATTCTGTTGTAATACTTAAATTTTAATTCTACATTCAGCGTGTTGTGTACAGAAATGTTTGCAGCTTTTCAATGAGAACCTTAAGTTATTCTTCAAGTTAGGATTTGGTTCATGGTGCCCTACCAAAAAGAATGACGTAGTCAGCTATTTCCGAGGGGAATTGCTATAACCTAATACTGCTTATAAGATTTTTAGAACTTCTTTTTCTAACCTCTAAAAATTTTCTGTATTAAAATAGGTTTCCTCCATTTTTTGATGACAATCCATTTGGTATATATCAGAAGATTCTTGCTGGCAAAATAGATTTCCCAAGGCATTTGGATTTATATGTAAAGTAAGTCCGTGACTCCAACACTATATTTTACTTTCTAAACATCTCCCGAGCACTGTTTCTGAAGGATCTTCTAAGAAGACAAGATACAAGATTCTGATTTTCTGAAACACCATGTTGGAAAATATTTTACGTTGCATTTACACTTGCAGTCCAAATAAACTTATATATCTGGTAGACTTCAAGCTGATGATATGGTTGTAAGATAGTATCTGACTCTCTTACTTTTCTGCATATTCTAGGATATTTAATGCTTTTCCACCTTGTACAAGGCTCGTTGGTAGCAGGTCCCTGTAAAAAGTAAAGAGGAGAAAGAGAATGAGATAATTTAATACGAGTAAAAATTAGGAGAGCAGGAAGCAAACACTGAATTGTTGTTTTGTATACATACGTACCACTTAAATCTCTCTCAGTATAACTACTTGAGTGAACTCTGGTACTTCAGAAGTTCTAGTGTAAAATCAACTTAAATTTGTGATAGCAGGGACCTAGTTCAATATGCAGTATTATATATGCATGTGTGGGTTTTATAGTATTTTGCAGTCATTAAAGGTATATTGCAGGTGTAATGGGTTTTCCTAATTAAAAATTCTATAACTGACTCTTCCGTAAGGAGAGGTCTTGTCTGTGAAGAACTGTGAAGGTGACTGTAAAAGGAGTTGGTCACATGATTTAATCTAGTCCAAACATTGATTGTCTGGAATGATCATGAGAGTTTTAAAAATTGCTTTCAACGTGGACTTTTTTATTCTTTTATCTGGCAATTGAATATTTTTCCAGTTGAATTTTAAAATTGTATTCCTGCCAAATACAACAGCTTTTCAAACAATCCAACACATTCACTCTCAGTTCATATATTCTTTATGCATAGGCTTTTGTGATTTCAAGGATAGGTGATGCAGTACTCTTTTGATTTTTGGGTAGTAGGTGTTACAGATAGGGATAGAGAGAGGCAGACGTATCATTAATATGTTTGCGTTCTTTTCTGTAAATAAGGCTGTTGACACTTTTTTAAATTTTTTGTAAACTTAAAAATTAGAAATAGCCATGCTCTGTAGATCCTCAGCATTTTGTACAGTATGTCATCTCTCAGGTCTATTCGAGATTGTAGAAATGAGGATGGTTAAACTTTTGTTCTTTGCTGCCATTGTACTTTATGCAAAAAATAGCAAAATCTTTGAGATAAAAAGTAACTGCTTGCAGAAATACAAAGCTATATTTTTTCCTCAACTCATAAGTAATAAAGGTAATTCAATAGATTATGATATGATACTTTTGATTTATGTTGTAGTTGTTTGGTGCTTAATATTCAAAGTATTTTGCTATTAAAATGGAAGAGTTTTATGTCTCTATACTATTAAAATGTTGATTTAACTTTCTGAAAAACTGTTCAATGAATCTCAGGGGATAATTTTCATTTTCAGTGAAATGAAGCTTACAGATGTTGCTAACTTTAAGCAGATGACTAGCTCTTTCATGGTTTCTCTGGATATTTAACATAAAGTTAAAGGTGCAGCGTTATCTGCTTTATATATATTAGGGCTGTGTTCTGACTAAGAGGTTTGAGATCCATTTTGAGATTTGGAATGCCCAGCAAAATAGAAAAATACAAAGAAAGAAATAGTGCTACTTGGCAAGGGACAAAGGAGGGAGAAAGTTTCTTTCCTTTGTTTCTTGAAAGAGCAAGAATTCTGCAAGTTTCTTTTGAAACAGGTTATTCTTTTTTATCATTTCCTCTAAAATGTTCTCAAATGTGAGGAAATGAATGGGTCAAAGGGAAATAGATCTGTATTTGTGTGACAGTCAAATATAAATAACTTTTGTTTAACAGAGAACGTATTTTCTTTACTTCAGAGACCTTATTAAGAAGCTGCTTGTGGTTGACAGAACAAGACGACTAGGAAATATGAAGGTCAGTGTAAAATGTTAGGTGTAACACGGAACACAGCACGAGGTCGAAAGAATTCTGTAGGAAAGATGTAGAACAGCTCTTCTGTAGCTTTTGTTATTATAAACATGAAAGTTACAGTTTCCCATGTTACTTTGGTTATGCAATCCCAAATGCAAAGTTTAGTCTGTGTATTCCTGTTTTTCTGAAGATCGTACTCCTATATGGGTTAATGCTATCCTTCATAATAGTTTCCCTCCCTACTCACCACTACCACCCCCCTTCATTAATTTGAAAACTTAGATTAGACCAGGAATTTGGGATTAAGTCCTGTAGTACACAGGGCCAGCTCATTTGGTTCTTTCTTTAGAGTTGTTAATCCTGGAAGGAGCACTAATCATATTTGAAGCTTAAAAATTATTTTCAAGAGTATAAGGGTTGTTGTAATATCATAATGTTTGGTCATTGTCTTGGTGGGGCTGATTAAGCACAGCCAAATAGTCTTCCACCAGGAAGAATTAGGCATCCTAATCTGAAGAGACTTCTGAAAGTACTGACTTACTAGAGACTGTGCTCACATGTCCTGGGTAGCATTTCAGAAATAGACCTGTATTTGTGGTATGTCAAGGAGAAACACAAAGCAGTCCTGAATTCTCTTGAGCTGTCCTTGTGTAGTACAGTATGATGTCAAGATGATGAGAGCTGTATGACAAACTTATTTGATTCTACAGCTGTGATTGGTAGTTCAGTGAGAAGTCAACTGCGTGTGAATTAGCTCAAGTACTTTAACAGGCTAGCCAGAACACAACACAAACTCAGTATAGGTTATTTTACCCTTCTGGCAAAGTAAATTAATCCTTTATTTGTTGACTTGCTCTTGTTCTTACAGTGTGGCAGATACCGAAATTAGCTTGGGTAGTCTTTTATTTCTTTAGGGGCAGCTAACATCTTTATTTCTCTGGGCAAGGGAGGTCAGTGGTTTACTTTTTGCCCAAAGCACATTGAATGGTGCACATAGGTGAAGAAATTAGAAGATGCACAGTCATACAGGTGTCTTTAAAATATTTTTGGTATAAGTGTAAATGCTGTAACCAGCTGTCCAGGGTTTTCTTTTGGAGTCTTTTATGGCACGAAGTCAGACTGGCAGGAAAAACCAGGAAATAATGTTTTTCTTATCCTTCAGAATGGTTTGCAGTGTTTTTCAGGGGTGGAAGCAGGAGGATTTCATAAGCTGAAAATTCAAAACTGATTGATCAGTGAAAATTTTTATATCTTTTGACAGTTTTGAAGGAAAACAAAAACAAAAGCAAACCTTGATTTATTCAAACATAGGTTTTAGAAAATGTGTTTGGCTGGCTTTTGTGTTGGTTTTGGTCGTTTTTAGTCTGTGGTTGCTTAGGTTTGTTTTGGGGTTTTTCCCTGCAATTGACTAAAATGTCAAAATCAAAACCAGTTCTAATGAAAAGCAGGCTTTGGGGTGGGAGCAGTAGGTCAGACTTGTATCTGATCCTTTTCCATGATTGTAATTGGTTTAAAATAAGGTAAATTCCACTGGACCCTTTCTGGTGAAGCATTGAGACAGATCTGCTTTTGAGGGAACTAGGTGATATACTGTTCTTCTTGATGCCTCATAGGATATGAGGCAATGGATAGTCTCATTCCACATAAATCTGAAAATGTGTGATATGCTTCATTTTGTGGAGTTTTATGTGGTATGATCTTGAGTGCTATGCTGTGATCAGGCCTGAAACAGAGAACCAGCTGTTTTCCCCCAGTGCTTAATCCCTTGAGAATGAGCCTGTGCTTGAAACAAGTTTCATCATGAAAAAGGAAAAAGACATTTTTGTTCCTTATGTACATAATCAAAACAGGCACCTTTAACTGTATATCTAAAATAAAAACAAATGTTCTAATATATTTACTTCTGTAACAGTACTGAGAATCTCTTGCTGTCAGCACTAAACTTCTGTAATATTTGAGAAAACTTTGTGCTTCCCAGACGTTATTTTATTTAAGACACCAACAACTCTCAGTTATTTTTTTATTAGTGTAAGTATTAGAAAGTATATCTGAATAAAAATGTCGGGGAATACAAAAGTGAATAGAACTGTAGTGAATGGTTTTGAGGGTACTTTAAAGCCTCTTCTTAATTTGCATTGTGTCAGAAGAATGCAAAAAACCCCCAAAACATAATAAAACAAAAAAAACCCTAAACAAACAACAAAAAGAAAACCAACAAATAACAAAAACAAAAAAACCCAAGCTAAACAAACAACAGCAACAACAAACAACAAAAACCCAAACATTTGGATCTTATTGCTGGAACTCAGGATCTGCTAGGGAATTAACACTATGAATTTATACTGTAGAATTTTTAATGATTATCACCCGAAAAAAGGAAAGACTGTTAGTCTGCTTTGATACCGCAGGTCTTATGCTGAAATACATCGTTTGGAATACATATAACTAACAAATTAGTTATTTTGATTTTTTTTTTTTCTTTAAAGAATGGCGCCGATGATGTGAAGAGGCATCGATGGTTCAGGTCTATAGATTGGGACGCTGTACCTCAAAGGAGACTAAAGGTATATTCCACGAAATACTGTGTAGGACATCACAAGGAGAACTCATTGTTCATTTAAGCTGATCTGTTGAAGGTTTGTTGGCTGTTGCATCTGTGTGTTATGTGTGTGTATGACTAAATGTCTATATGCACACTTCAGTAATTAAATGCATATTTGCCCTTTTACAATGCAGAATTAATTGTATGACTGTCTGTTTGCATTTTTGTCTACTTACAAAATGTCTAAAAAAAAAAAGCCTGCTTTCCTTATGTTGATTAATTAATACAACATTTAGGTTTCAGTTTTAGGGGTTTATAAATATTTACTTGTATGTGGCTTTTATTTAGGGGAGTGGAGGGGGTTGGTAGTCTGTTGGTTTGATTATTCTTTTTCTTTTTTTCCTTGCCCTTACATTTATGGAAGTATTTTACTCTGGGCTTTAAATTTTTGTGCCAAGTTCAATTCAGGTAAATACTTTAACAAAATGTAAAGCATATGGGAGTAGGAGGAATAGGGAAGGTGAAAGAGAAGGATTTATGAATGTAATTCTAACACACTTTTTAACAGCACTGAATTCTAGTATTGTATGAGGGCAGATGTTTGCTAAAGCTATCAACATTACAAAATGCTTTTTCAAGTCCTTTGGAACTAAAACTGCCTTCTTTCTTCCCTTTCCCAGAGTTCTAACTCATATGATTTCTTACAGCAGTGATTTTCTGTAACAGAGGTTGCCATATGCAGTCAATCAAGTACCAATTAAATGTTTGTTTTTCTTTTTTTTGCATTAGTTTCTTATACCTAATTTCTAGCTAGTTATCTTAAATTGAGTTCTTGCAAAAAACTAGAAGAGAAGACTAAAATGTTCTTGATGCATTCTTGTAAACAACATCTTAATACAAAGCTGTAGATGACTTTTTTCTTTACCAGAAATAAGTTCATACATTTTTAAGTTTGTGGATTTGTTTTATTTTTAATCATTACTAGACACGTTTTTATGTAATGTATTGTAATGAAGTCACATTTTGCAAGTTATTTACTGTAAATTCTGTTCATGAAAATCTGCAAAAAACCACAATCTGCATGATAACCTGTTTTATAAGTATTTAAATTCTGAAGTTTTTGAAAACCTTCTCTATTGCCAAATCAATAACAAATAAATTAAACAAATTAAAACCTGGTTGTTAGATGTACAGTCAAACGTCTCAGGTCCAAACCTCCTTTGTGTGGCATTTTTATTTTAAAAAAATTAATTTTTTTTAAAAATTAAAAAAATTTAAAAAGTCATTGTCACACTTGTGAATCTAAAACTTGTTTCTTAATCTTTGTGATGATTACATTAAGTTCTTAGAAGACAAGTCACTACTTAACTAAACTTCAGAGCAGGGATGTGAATTGGGTCAGAATTTTGCTTGGTGATTTCTAGAGGCAGCTTTATTCTTCAGAATTTGTTTTTACAATCTCACTGTATTTCATACTGATGAAGAGATTGAAAATATGAAATAATGCACACAATGCTCCCTTTTCCCTGTAAAAAGTGTGAATTTCTCTAGTGTACAAATGACTCATTGATTCATCATCCTAATAAGGTCTTAAGTATCAGTATTATATAAATAATACTAATGACTGAAAGAGAGAAAATAATTTCATTAATCATCCTTTCTCTCTTTCTTTTCTTTTGTTGTCTCTTTTTGTGTGTCACTTCACAAAACTATTTTTTCCTGCCAAAATGCCTACAGGGAGGTGGGGGTATGGACATTGCCCACAGTGGAGCAGACAGTTCTCTGGAACAGAACAGATTCTACACATTTTTTAAGCATCTGGGCAGTGTAGTGAGACTGCTGGGTGCGAAAGTAGGACTCTGCTTTTGGCTGAAGGTTAGAAGTATCACCTCTTGGGGGCCCTTGGTTTCCCATTTAAAACCTACTGATGATATTGATTTGAAAAGCCCAGAAAATCAGATAAGGTCTCACAGGCAGTGGAAGGCAAACCTTCATCTTTTTGAGGAGATGCAGAGTAACATTTTGCTATACTTTATAGTTCTGTCTGTGGTATAACTTGTATTAACCAGTTCATGGATCATCTGTAAGATTTTCTCATTCTAAAGTGTTCTGTTGGACTCACATGATAGTTCAGCTCTCAGTTGCTGAGAAGGGGTTAGAGAGATGAATGTCCCTTGAGAAACAGAAAAGGGGTTTGTCTTACATTAACCTCTGCCATTAATGAAATATTTCAGAAAGGAGGTTTATCTCATAGCCTGTGGGCAGAAGGGTAAAGTAATATGAATGCTAAATATAAAACAAGGAAAAACTACAGGTACTGTGAAGTTGGTGGGCAGTACTAGAAATTGAAAGGATCCTCTGAGGAGAGAAAGAGAAAACAGATAATTCTCATAGCACCTTCAGGTTCCATAAAAAAGATCCATTTGAATTAAGTTGCTTTTACAGCCATCCTTGTGAAATGACTTACGGTGCAGCAATTTCTTTATCTGTTTGAATTTATTGCTAGGTTAGGAAAAAGCACTACCTACTAGGTAGTGTGAGAAATAGAGAAGTTAGTCATTTCAGCCACCTTAAAACTGATCAATCTATTCAAAACCAAAGAGAAGAGGAGGCTTTTCTCCTTCAATTAGAAAGCCATCTCCCACACTGGTATGATGACTTTTTCTTAGTTGAAAGGAACCTAATATGATTACATTCCTTTCTGTTCATAGGCCACAGATGATGGGAAGAGTGAGGAAGAAGAGTGGCAGATTATGCTATGATGGCATGTGCCTGGAAGCCTAGTTGTAGTAATGTTTTGCAGTAGTTATCTTCAGTCTGCAAAGCAGCTAGAGAGGTGGTGTTAATAACATAGGTCTCTATATTTTAAGTGTGTTTTAACCACATTATTTAACTGCAAAATAGACAAGGTGTGGGAATGTGTATGTGTTTCTGCAGGCTTCTCTCTCTCATGCCGTTCATTATTAGGTGAACTGTAAATCTGTGAACTGCAAATCTGTACCCCGTTTGTTTAATTGGTCTTTTACAGAATTTTTACTTTAATATGATGGGGAAAGATCACTGAGGAAACTGTACTAACATTTTTGTTGTGCTTTTTCTGACTAGCCTCCTATAGTACCCAAAGTGTCCAATGATGGAGATACTTCCAATTTTGAAGCTTATCCTGAAGATGACTGGAATAAGACACCTCCAGTACCTCCTAAAGATCTAGAAATTTTCAAGAACTTCTGAAAGCAACATCTACAATGGATGAGGTATGTCCAAATGTCAGGAGCCATCTTGAAAACATTGCAGACTGAGAACCATATTCAGAAATTACATCTTCTCATTCATAATGGCTTATGGAATGATAAAGATCATTTATTCACAGGCTTTGGTTTTCTACAGTGATGAAGAATTATTTGCATAGAGATATTTAAGTCCTGTCCTTAAATCTTTTAAAATAATGTGTTAAGAAGAAATATCTAGATTGATTTGACAGATAAGGTAATGCGATTGTTCTTAATTGCAAGGTTTTTCTATTAAGAATTTTCAGATTAATTCTGTACCCTGGATTCTGTCTTTTAACTGTGATAGTTTGATACTTGTTATTCAGTTCACATACTCCACCTTGTGTTTTGTGTTCCTTTTTTTGTCTTAGAAGCTGGAAGAAAATTGAAGTCCTAAGAGCAAGTCTGAAGAATGATGGAGTTCATATGTAAATGAAAATTTTCGTTGTAGCTAAGAATGATACTGAATTCACATGTGTGTATTAGTATATAGTAAATACCTAAAGAGGTGGAGGCTGACAAGAATGATTTTTTGCTGTAAACATTTAACATTAGTTTAGTTAATTGTAATAATGATAGTCTGCTCTGAAGTAGACTCACTAAAATAGTATTTTTAGGATTTATTTTTTTTAACTTATGGTTAAGTTTCCTACTATTCTCAGATCTTTTTTGCATAGTTAACTCATAGACTTAATTTTATAAGTTTATACTAAACTTGTGTAATTAAAAGCACAAATTAGTATATATGTATATAATGAATACAAAACAACTAAAGCACAGGAATTGTGCAAAGATGTAAATTTTTGTACTTTGCAGAGTCTATGATTTTTATTTTTAAAATAATGTTTTTCAAGAAGTTCTTTAGGAATAAAAATCTTAAAAAGGATAAATGAGTTTTTCATCATCTTATATGCATTTTATAATTCTTTGTAAAAAATAAAAATAATTACGTTTTAAAAAAGATTTGTACCTAAAATTTCCAATGCCTCACACTTGCAACCAGAGTACTTGAAAGCAGAAAGACAAGGGCATGTTTTATTGTTTTTTAAGGTGCATCTTAATGGCTAATTCAAGAAGTTCTGTTAAAATTACATCTCTTTGCAAACCGGGATTTTGAATGATTTTACACTGTCTGAAATGAGATTCCTCACATGAAGACTCACTGTAAACATGCAGTTCAGTGCATACTGAAAAAGGGCTCTAGCTAGCTCTTACAGGAGTTGTTCTGTCTCAAGCTTGCTGTCTTCTCCAAGCATGAGCCATAACAGACTTTTCATTCGTGAAATAGTTGTTGTTGAATGCTGGGTGCTTGAGAATATCCGAGGGAAGACTGAATATATAGTAAAGCCTGATTTTTCTGCTCCTGTTTTTTAAAAAATGTCCCGAAGTCTCTGCTGCCAGGAATTTTGTATGTATAGGGTTCAAACCCTAGATGTAAGGAGTCTTTTTTCATCCTGCTCTAACATCTTTCTAGCAGCTTGAGTACACTGTATTTTGGAAGTATTTGCAATATTGCTTCATTTTAAGTAGCAGCAAATATCATCATGTGTGTATGGATCTGTGTATATGAATGCACATGAACGTGAAGGTAGATTGTATACAAGTTAGAATTTTTTTTATTTTTTTTTTTGAGGTTACATATTGTGATGCTTGTGTTAATATAGAGGAATTGATTTTGAAGTGCTTCAATTGCAAAAAGTTATTACATTGACTTTACATTGTTTCCAGAGCCATGTGTACATACTCCTGTAACTACTGACCTCGTCAAATGCTTTCTAGGACAAAACTGCTTTCAAATTTTTTTTAATTCAAATCCTGAATTAAAAACTACAACCAAACTGTTTTTTAAGCATTATTTGAAGTGATCAGTTATTTTTTTTCTACAGTCTTGGACTTAATGAACTATTACCAACCCATTTAATTTATTTGCACAAGTGAGCCTGTTTTATTTTAAGTCTTTGCTGGGTCTTCATGGCCCACTAATGTAGTTCTGTCTGAGAGTTCATGCAGTTAGACACTGCACTAAGATCTCTGGATTTATGGATTATTATTTTTTTTTTTTTAAGAAGACTGGAACACTTTTTTTTTTCTATTCATGTAGGGTATTCTCTGAAGTTCATTTTACTTTGATTGCTTCTGTTAACACGTGTTTTTGCATATAGACTGTTGCGTAAGGACTGTTGTCTTGCAAAAGAGCCCTTAGGCCTTTGGTATTCCACGTCAGTGAACAAGAATGTTAAACATTAAAAAACCAACCTTTATTTTTGAGTTATATATATATATTTTTAATTGCCCAGTTTGAGGTTTTAAGTGATTAACTTCCATTGTAAACTCAATTGCCTTGTAACCAAATTATATAAATGCTTCATGATTTCAATGAAGAACATGCTGTAAATTTTCCTGTAAATTAGCTTGATCAATGAATATGTGTGCTACTGAGCTTTAACTAGTGTGATCTTCCACTGTAGAAAGTCATTGTCAATGGGTCAAATATAGGTACTAAACTATGTTTAAATGGATGAACAGGGATTTTGCAGTTTTGAAAGCAATTAAGCTATGGCTGTTTCTCAGCCCATCTGCTTGCCATTCAGAAGAGTTGTGATGCAGTGCTTCCTATGCTATAGAATTGTTTTTCAGCTTTCAATGACTGTAGCATGATTCCTTTTTGTACTGTACTGTGTACAGACTTTCTATGTTTTGCACTTTTCTATGGCAAACTTTGACTGCTCTATAAATACTCTGTTGTGTAGTATGTAGTGATAGTGGTAGCAGGCATTTGTGTGCTGCATAATCAGTTTGAACTGCTAGACTTGCGAGGTTAACTTGAACTAATGTTGTATGTTGCTGGTTGCTTGTTGTAGCTCACATGTATAAGTACTGTTCAAAGTTACAAAGTCAGCCCTCATTGCACAATGAAAATCACTGTGATCTGTACATAAACCCTAGTAAAACTTTATTGCTGTTAATTTATGTAATATCTGTCAAATCTGGATTCATTTAATAAACCTTTATATCTTTTTAAATGTTTTAATTTAGTTTGCTTCCATTTGTGTTGGGAGGAGGTTGAGGTTCTTCATCCAAGAAAATTATGAAGGGGAGAGGAGACGGAGTAGAAAAACAACTGTTCCTTGTTTCTAGGAGTTAAGTCTTTCCAGAACAAGACAGGAGTGCTGGAACATACTTCAGATGGTGTGGAAGAAGCACCAAAAAGTATATTTTCAAAATCATTTCAGGTAGCACATCAATGATGAAAAGTGTTAACTCAGACTTCTCATTTAACTTTGATTATATGACCCTAATTGCTTTGACATTTTCATAGCTTAATGACCTGAACACTGTCCAGAACACTCATTTCAATTTGTTTCTTTAGGCATCAAAATATTCTTACAATGTCAAGCACACCTAACTAAACCTTTATTTCATCTTCTATTAAGAACTTGAAAAGTCCATTTTCAACAAAATTTGTTTAGCTGTTGATGTTAAATTACTTTTCCTGGGTCAAATGTGTTTTATTTCTTGCCCACTAGATATCTTAATCTCGCAGAGATAATTACATAGTCATAGAACCAACTGGATGCAGTTTGTACTAGTTAAACGTTCATTTTTGTAACACAGTTTTTCTTTCTGCCTTACTTCATTCTAAATTTTGTGCATTGATGTTTTTCCTCTTGTAATAAACCACTATGTTATGTGCTTCAAGAAACTGCTAATGGAAAGTGAAGGAACACTGCAATGAGCCCTGGAAAGCTTTTGGTCATATCTTTGACATGAATCAAAAGAACTGCTCAGTTAAAACATACAAAATTTTTGAATAGTAACAAGAATCCAGGATGTTTGTAAAAATTTGGTTTAGCATCTTGTTCTTACCCCAACCATGTGGTAGAGTTTTTGTTCATTTGTTCTGAGTACTGTATCTTTTTTGCCTGCGTGTGTAACTCCGTCTTATCCAGTAAAGACCATTAAAATAAGCTTTTTCACTCGTGCAGGGCCAGTAAGTCTTGCTAATGGTTGAAAGCCACTGGCACTGTTACAATGGGATACTGCCCTGCACTTCGTGAATTCCTACATAATGTTCATATCAAGCTCTTCTTGTGCAAACTCCTGCTAGCTGCTACAGTCTCAGCTTCAGAATTAAGATGGCTTTTCACAGAGAAAGTAAAAGGATCTGCTGCTGTCCTCAGTATCAGACTAGCTTTCCATTCTGTCTTCCACACACACTTTCCATCTACCCTTCAAAATCTACCACACATGAATATATGTCAGGCATCGTATTTATCCTTGAAACCAAGAATATTGTAAACTTATAGCAAGCTGATTTGTAGGAATTTATTTCTACGTATCCAAATATTTGCTGCATTTGTTTCAATGCCAATAAGAATGAGGGCAGTTGAGAGTTGAACACGTCTTACTGTGTTTGTAATTCAGGCCACTGAAGTCTCTGAGAGACATCCCAAAACTGATATGCAACCCAAAACACCAAAAATGCAGGCCTGCCTTCTAGTAGATGAAACTCTGAGGTTCTATGCAGGTGCTGTCTCTACTGCACTGGTTTTTACTTAATCAGAGTTTGTATCATAAATACCTTGAAAAGTGTAATGTGTGTCATCTTAAACAACTAACTAACTAGAGATTATTGTTTTGTGTTTTTTTATTCTTGCCTCCAGCATATTGTCCCTATTCTGGACTCTGGTAATAAAGAAGGCAAATGAATGGGATAAAACTATTTTGGGAAAACAAATAAGCTTGAATTGCACTTTAATTCAAGAAATAACTTGATATGCCTCACCAGTACATACTTGCACATGTACTTGTTCTACCACTAACCACAGAAAAAATCGTGCCAGTTCTAGGTTTATGCTGACTGTCAAGCTATAATTGTGTTCTTCTCAATATTGTATACTAAAAGACAGTTGTAAGACCCAGAGTTTATTTCAACTTTAGTCAGTAATTGGTTTAGTTTAGAGAGTCCTTGATACTAAAATCTCTTGGTTGGAGAAGGAGAGTGCTTTACAGTCATCTTCTTAATTTTCCATCCTGTCCAAGTGTAAGCTGTGCAGAGGAGGTGGTTGTGCTTTGAGTACTGTTGCAGTTCACTTGAAGAAAACAGCAGCTTGCTCAAGCCTACAGTGTGTCAGGCTTACTTCAGAGCCTGAACTTAAGTCTTCTCACCCTGAAGGCCCAAGTCTCTTTTCTTTCAGAAGCTTTGTGAGAGTGTGACTGAGCAGCTTAGCAAATATTAAGACTGAGCCTTAGGAAAGCTCTGAGCTTTACAATGGCAGCTTTCTCTGAGTCCACATTTCTTCAGAAGTTAATAACATTAGCTCATTTTTGATTTAGGAGACAAAAATAAAAGATTCTGAGCTACTTGGTGCTTCTAAGTTTGGTGAACAAATGCCAGAAATATGGAGTGTTTCAAATTGTGTGTATAATATCTAGTAGCTTCTTTGACCTGATTTTAATTTCTCTGTTACAAAGAAATTGTAATTGAATTTAGGACCCTCTTCTAATCAAGGTGCTTGTAAAACCATTTAACTGAAGTAGGGCTGCTGGGCTGTGTTAATATAGTAAATAAAACATTCACAGATGGCATGTCTTTCATTTGTACTGATAAACAGTTTCCTTTGATCCATGCTAGCTATAAATGGCTTAACATTCTGCTCTTAGTTTTTCGTCAAGCCCATTTTAATAAGAGGTTTTGAAAAAAAAAATAAACACAGGTAAGTATTATTATTATTATTATTATTATTATTAACCTAATAAGTAGGTAAATTATTTTGTGTTCGTATGAATAAAGCTGATCTGGGAGTTGATATTGAAATGCATTATCAAGGAACAGCATTTTGTTCTGGATTAATAAATTTGTGTTTTGAATGTAATCAGATTTAGGATTTTCCTTACTAGCCTGTGACTTGCAGCAGCACTGCAGTCCTTTGCCATGACACTTGCTCCTCCTAGCACTGCTGTCACCACTGTAGCAGCAGTGAGTCCGCTACCCCAGCTGATCAGGGAGAAAATGTGTCCCTGCTGTGACCTGAACTTTGGATCAAAAGTGCTACTTCTACTAGTTTATCTGAAAAGGAATGTTCAATAGCTGAGTGTAGCTGAAGTCCTTCTATTCTCTGCAGGTATTTGCCACCAAGGAGCAAGACTACCACAATATGCTGTAAAATAACATTCAAATGGCGCATTTTTAATCCATTTTAAAATATTTACATAAAGCTCCTGTGACTCATGTAATCCCCAGCAAAATCTTGGTGATGCAAGAAGGAAAGTGTGGTGGTGGATCACTTAGGGAAGTGTTGCTAGGGACTGGACTGAATCTGTTCTTTAATATCACTGTCTGGCCATTGA